CACTTCGAGTTGGGGAAGTAAAGGCGGCGTGGAAAGGAACTGGCCACCCTACCACAATATGCCGAAGACCCAGGAAGTTGTCTCACTAACAAGGCAATCCCCAATGTCGGACCGGATGAGGGAACAACTTTTATATATATATAAGTATATTACATAACAAAGGAAAACTGAATCCTGGGAACGCTGCTCAAGACGACCACCTGCCTACAATGACCACCTTCTACAACGACCACTGCCTACAATGACCACCTTCTACAACGACCACCTGTCTATAACGACCAATGTCTGCAATGGCCATCTGTCTACAACGACCATCTGTCTCTGTCTACAACGACCACCTGTCTACAACGACCACATTTTCCCCCACAAAGGAGAGCCGTCTTGATAATTTTCCACTGAGTTAAAAAATGTAAAAAGTTACTTTCCGCCTGTACCGTCTATCGAGAGAACAGACAATGTGTCAGGAGGCGGGCGACAGCCCTGTCTGTCTCCACAACCCCAGGCTGGACAGGAAACATCCCAGGAGACAGACTGAAATACTCCACAACATTTCCCCAGCATGAGTTCTTCTCGGACAAGGGCGAACAATCACGGAGGTCCCGTGTGCAAGTTGAGCACGTTAAAGATCCCTTGGTGGTCTAAAATCGATAAGAGTAGGCTTCGGCTGCCATCCGTGCAAATTCCAAAATTCCTTACCAACTGAAAATGTTTAAGGTGTCCCGCACGCTCATAGTATGACCTTATGCAGTTGTGAGCGCCGTAAAACACTTACCAAAAAACAACAACAACACCCCAACATGGGACACGAACACAGCCAGCCCTTCTGCGCGCAAGGGTGAGATGGCTAAAACGGAGTGCCCACTACGGATGGGATCGGCCAACTCGATCGCCTCAAAAACAAACGTGTTTGTTTTCAGTTTCAGGCGATCGAGTGTCGGGCGATCGGCCCGATCCTGCTGTAGTGGGCATCCCGCATAACATCTACACCACCACAGGCACCCACCAGAATTCTACGACAAAAGTGGCCCAAACAGAATCCAAACAAAACTTGTTGTCCGTTTCTATAAATAGCCTGCATTATTCATGGCTCCGTCCGTAAACTCCATCCCTAGTGTTGATTGCCGCCCGGGTACCGATTATCATTCCACTTCTCTATTCATCCATTCATTCATGTATTTATTCATTTATTCCTTCGTTCGTTCATTCATCCGTCCGTCCATTCACTCGACCATAACAAAAGACACGTGTGTGTACACATGGCAAGGACAACAGCCGCGCTCCCAGTCAGTCTATCGGAGACGGACGCCCGCGGGGGCAAACTACAGCCCAAACTGTCCCCTACAGTCACCCATTGCTGGGAAGAAAACAGGTAGTCTTACACAGTGGCATTATGGTGATTCTGTCTGTCTGCCTGTCTGTCTGTCTGTCTGTCTGTCTGTCTGTCTGTCTGTCTGTGTGTCTCACAGTGTGTCTCACAGTGTGTCTGTCAA